GATCGGCATGGCCTCATTGGCAGCATGGCTCTTGGACACCAACATAGACTCAAGTGGTTGACCAGACTCCTGGCATCTGAATGGCCTTCAGTGGTTAATGAAGCCATGGATATCAACACAGACCCTGGCTACAGTAGGACCATGGACCCAGATATGGCCCTTGGCAGTACCCCAGGCCTGGATATCACCCTGTTCCCAGGTGGCAAGCAGGCCACCCATATCAGCCTGTTCCTCACTGTTTTTGATTCTTCAGTTCTGCCTCTTTCCACAGCACATGGACCATTCTGCTTCTTTCTTTCCTGTTTCTCCACCTCATTGTAACAGCACCTACCCTCCTGGTGCTGTAAGGCCTGTGGATGTTTTCAGCCAACCCAGACTGTGAAGACCCAGGATGGCCTGTGGGTGTCCTTCATCTGCCTGGGCCAAGTGGTACCAGGCAGGCCTGTCATAGGATTTTTAATATAGGCAAGTCATATGGACAGCTTGTGCATTTCTATTCTTTCCTGATCATTGGATCATTTTGTTCTTTGTCTTACTCTACTGAATTGTACAATTTACATAGCAAGCATGTTGTCACTCCAAAGAGATCTAAAATTTCATTGTGTATGTGGTGTGTGTGTGTGTGTGTGTGTGTGTGTGTGTGTGTGTGTGAGAGAGAGAGAGAGAGAGAGAGAGAGAGAGAGAGAGAGAGAGAGAGAGAGAGAGAGAGAAAGGGGGGAGAGCATAAGCGCCCACGCACATGCCAAGGCCAGAGGAAGATGTTGGGTGTTCTCCTGTCTCTGTCTCTGCTTCATTCTCTTGGGGACCTGAGGCTGGCTGTTTTTTCATTAGGTGCTGGCCAGAGAGCTCCAAGAATTCATATGTGTTTGCCCCTAGTGATGAAGTCACATATGTGCAGGGCCATGCCCTGTGTTCTTATGTGGGTGATAGGGAATCAAACTTAGGTCCTCTGCTTGTCTGGCAACTGTTCTAACTCACTGAACCATTTCTCCAGCTCCAAGTTTTAAGAATAATATTTTTTTTTGTAGAGTTTTAGTTGAAACTTCTATTTTTAATTTAATAAGGATGGATCGAGGCTCATTTTTAAACAGATGATTTTAAAATGATCCCTTTGAATGATGTTTTGATGTTGCTATTTAAGTGGATCAGGATGGTATAAATTACATTGATAGGTTGCTCTAATTTTCTGAGCAAAACCTTTGACAGGCAAATGCTAATTATTTTTACCTTGTCCAACATAACTCTGTGTAGCTGGCTACCCAGAAAAGATTCTGACCCACTGCAGAAACCCATGGGAACTATTCAGGCAATCAGTCCTTGTCTAATTGCATGGCATGGCTATCTACCCCTCAGCCATGTCGGTGGCTGGCTGGTTTCACTCCTCTGTGAATGCTTATGGGCCTTATCCTGCCCAGGCTTGCTGTGCTGTTTAGCTCTAGCTGCAAAGCCTGAACTTCAGTTTCTTACTCTACCAGGGAATTGCTGCCATGAATGCTAAGTTGTTATGCCATACTGCTATTGTGTCATGGACCCTGGCCATACAGGGGGAAAAGACATTACTTCTCCAACTTTGCCAACTGCAGTAGTTTGAATGTCATTGACCCCCATAAGCTCATAAGGAATGGCACTATTAGGAGGTGTGGCTTTGTTGGAGGAAGTGTGTCACTGGGGGTGGGCTTTGAGGTTTCCTATGCTTAAGCTTCACTCAGTGTCGCAGTCTATTCCCTGTTGCCTTCTGTTCAAGATGTAGTCAGTACCATGTTAGCCTTCAGGCTGCTGTGCTCCCTGTCGTGATGACAATGGACTGAACCTCTGAAACTGTTAGCTGCCACCTCAATGCAATGTTTTCCTTTATAAGAATTGCCATGGTGTATCTTCATAACAATAGAAACCCTAACTTAAACACAGGCTCATAGCTGTAGAGAAGGAATTCCTCTCTCCAAGCTTGATGTTCAGTCCTAGATCCTGCATGCTGTTCCTCCTGTGAGTGTTCCCAGCATTACTGGCCAAACCAGATGTGTTAATTTTGCAGGGCTGTTTGCTTTTGTTTCTTGCCAATCCCATTTAGCTGTGATGTTTAACTTTTTTTCTATGTAGTTTGGCTATATTTTATTTGAGTTTTTTTTTGCATATATAAGATTCATAGGTGAGATAGATTTCTCATTCTCTGGTGTTCTTTTTATTTGGATTCTGAATTAACTTATGATATCCTTAAAATAAATCAGAAAACCTTACTTCTCATTTTAAGTTTTCTTGACAATTTTCTAACATCCACTGATGAGCCACATTTTATCTTATTTTTAATTGACAGAGAATAGTTGCATATGTTTTAGGGTTCAAGGATATTTCTAGATATACAGTTATAAAATGACCAAGCCAGGATAATCACAGATCCATCACTTCCTTGTGGCAGCCATATTGATTCTTTTTATTTCTAGGATACACACATACAAATTGAAAAGCTTTCTAACTTTCCTTCTTGTCCTGATTAGCAAGCTTCTTGACATGGATTAGACATGGATCTTGTCTACACATCTTTCCTAGGTTCTTTTGATCTGTCTGCTTTTGTCATTCATACATTTTTTATTACTTCTTTGATTATTTCTTTACCTCTAAATATTTTTCTTCAAAATAAATAGTTTCTTGGGAACTGGAGAGATGGCTTGGCAGTTAAGAGCACTGGTTGCTCTTTCAGAAGACCCATGTCCAATTTCCAACATCTACATGGCAGTTCATAACTGTCTGTACTCCAGCTTCAGAGATGCCCTCCTCTGACCTCCACAGGTACAAAGCATGTATGTGGTACATAGGCAAAATGCTCACTCACATACAATAAAAATGTAAAATTAAAAAGTTGTTTGTTATTTGCTTGTTCATGCTTTTTATAACCAGAGTATCTTAGTTAGACATTTCTTCTTTACTCTTTTTTTGGAGACATGTCTCATATAGCTCAGTCTAGCTTTGAACTTGCAATGTAGTGGAGGATGACTTTGAACTCTTGATTCTCCTGCCTCTGTTTCCTAAGTGCTGGGATTACTGGCACTGCATTACCGTTGCCAGCTTTTCCCATTTGCTCTCAAATTCCTAAGATAGGCATATCTATTATTGTTGAGTAAGGTGCTCTCTATAACATTAAGCCTATCTGTTTGCCTGTGGAGGCCCTTACTGTTTCTGTGACCTGTTTCTAGGAGCTATGAGAAATGAGCATCTAGGAACAATGAGAAATGAGCAGAAAATACTGGCAGGGCATATCAGTAATTTATCATCAGGGTTGGGAACCTTCTGAGTATCTACAAACTCTTGGGCAATATCTTGTTTTTTGGCCTAAAGGATTCTTTCTGCCTCAGGCTATGAACAAAAGACTTTGGGAAAGGGAGTGAGGTATGGTCTGAGAGCCCTAATTAACACTGTGGCCCAGTGGCCCACCACTCACTTCCATCATTCTTTACGTTAGGGTGCATCAATGTATTTTCACATTGGCCATTCCCTGCATATGTTTTCGGTTATGATATATTCTAGTGATGGGTGTTTCCTGCTTTTTGGATCTCAGGGAATTTGTTTTCCTTCCTGCCAACGAAACTCTTCCTCTACAGTCCTGGTACCATATTGATCTACTTTTTAGAAATATATTTCCATCATTTGTAGGAATTGAAGTAAGAAGATGATATTGGCATCTGTGCTGAGTCCATTACTGCTTAAATTTGTCTTCTCTGACTTTTCTGTGATTTCTTCTTTTAGCTATGCCTTCATTTATTTCACTCTACAATGCCACAGAGTACCAACTCTGGGCCAAGCTTGGTATCAGTTGTTTTTCAAGAAGGTAGTGCTATTACCCATAAATAAAAGGGTGTGATTTTTTTCTTATTTTTCATAATAAACCTTCTCCTTCTTATTTATATCAGTCTAAGTGCACATTTTTTTTTTTTTAAACCTTGGAGGCTTAGCTTGGGTTAGAGACTCATCACCAAAAAAGCAGAACTCCCTGATCTAGGTGTGAGTCAACACGATGTTCTGGCCTCACTCACATAACGATGTCAAAGTGCTAGTTAGGTGTTTTCAGACGCTGCTCTCTGAAGACTCCGTATTTGGTCAGATTTCCATTCTCATCAGTGGTGCGGGCATGTCTCTCACATCTGTCTCCTCCGAGTTCTTGTTGCCTCTGCCTAGTTCTGACTCCTGTCACGTGTACCATGACTAGTCTGGCTAATGACTCAGTCCCTGATCTTTAGCAGCAGCTCCTAACATTTGTCATGGCGAAACTGATGACCTGAGGTCCATTAAGACTATGAATTTATAATCTCTCTTACTTTACAACCCTTACATTTCTTCCATTAAAAATTGAAAAACACTTACCATTTCCTTATTTATAAACCTTCAAAGTCTCTTATTTGCTTAAAGTAAGATGACCTTAGGAGCAATATTTTTATAGATTATTTTATTAAGCTCTTTATGTAAGTAGTGGATAGTATAATCATAATCATGGGCGTGAATGCAATAATTTTGCTGGTAAAATAGAATCATCATTCTAATAGTGACTAGGAATTAAGGAATATGAAGTAAATGCTATATTAATGACTTAATTTGGTTAGATGGGGTGAGTAAAAGAATGAATTGTACAAACCATAGAATTTTGACCTGCAGATCAATACAATTTTGGACCATAAAGACTAAATTCACTAAACTAATTCTGCACTGTATGAGAGTGGAGAAAGTGAGATGAGAACAAGCATGGGTTCATCCAGTGTTCTGCTCCTGATTATGGATGTGATATGACCAGCTCCCTCAGGCTCCCACCTCTGTTCCTTCCCTGTTCTGAGAGACTGTAACTTGGCATTGTGAACTAAAATAAATCCTTTCTCCCCTAAGTTGCTTTTGTCAGGATATTTTTTTAAAATCATTCATCAGGAAAGGAAATTAAGACAGTCTTGAGTCTCTCACTTCTGTTTTTGCAGCTCAATTTAAGTGCTGTTTCTATGTAAAATCCTGTGCTTTTCTGACAGGTTTCCTATGTAAGGATACCAGGATGTTTCATGGGAAATGATGACCAATTTGAAACCAAGGTCTTGGTCCAGGGTATTGCTACAAAGGTATTTCTATTTTCCTAAGCTCTTTGAGATGTAAATATCATAAATCAACTGAAATGTGTAAATTACAAAAAGGGGATTTGTGGATAACCCACCTTTGAAGACCAGAGTCCAGTAAGAGCATTGGCAATAGATGAATTCAAATTCTCAATGTGGTTGAGGCTCTGCCTGTCTCTCAGCTATAACTGGGAGTCAAACTTGGAGTGGTGGGACCAAAACTCACTTCTTAAGGCCTTAAAATTTGTTCACTTTAAAAACAATGTGCATGTATTCACGGAAGAGTTAAGAACTGTGTTGAATGTTGTCAGCTGTTGCATAAGATAAGAAAAAACCCAGAAAATGTTATTAAATTTAATAATAGAGAGATGCTTATATTGTTTTCCTTTCAAGTGATAGAGGTCAGAACCTAAAATCTTGGGGTTAAGGAGGAGGAGATGGGACAATGGAGGTTGTAGTTATAACCTTTCCTATTTCCCTTCTTTTTTCCTCTGTCTTTACCTTCTTTCTCTAAAATGTTACATTATTATAGTGTTGGTGTTTGGGGAAGTGATAGAGTAAAGATGAAATTAATGATTTGTATTGTAGAAAGAAGCACATGGGGGCAAAATTCACTAGGTGATGGACCATCTGGACCTGTTGCAAACGTGCAAGGTTGACCTTAGATACATAGAGCAATTGTTTATTCCTTATGGGGAGTCGGAAAGGCTGGTAGATTTTACAGTGGAAAGATAGAAAGTGGAATCAGCCAAGCTTCAATATGAAAAAGACCAAATTCATAGTGATTCAACAAAATGTAAGACTGCATATCCTTTAAGCAAATATTCATGTAGATAGTCAAAGGCTGATACAATGGCTTCATAATGAAATTTACAGATTCAGTCTGTCTTGTTGCTGTGCCAACCTCAGCATGCAGCTTGCCCTTTGTCAGACAAAGGTGATTGCTCGATCCCCCATCAGCTTGTAAGAATGCTAGCCACAGAGGAAGGAAAAAGTGAAAGAGAAGCCACGTGTCTTCACTTTAAAGTGAATGCAGAGATTGTCCCTAGTCTGTCCAAATCTCATTCTGGCCTGTAGCTGAGGCTGAGAAATCCAGTGTTTGGTAGGATGAGAATGCCTAACGAAAACTCGTATTCTTACTGAATGAATGAATGGTTCTCTGCTTCAGGGGATACAGTATTTCTTCTCTAATTTCTCAATGAGAGGGTGACTCATGAATGGAATGAAAGAATGGATGAGATTGTAAGGGGTTCAGGAGTAAGGCGAGGGAACACAGTGTTCGCCTAGAAGACTGAGCTAAGTAGAGAACTACTTAACTACTTAACTGCAGGCTGTGTGGAGGGACCACTTCATTTTGTGGTCAAAAGAAGCAAATGGCCTATCATTCTGACTCCTCTCTGAAGCTTCCACATTAAAAAAAAAAAGTGTTTCACGAGATGGAGCACAGTGGTACACTTGGGATAGGACACGTGTTCCCTTCAGTCAAAGGTCTCTGATAAGCTATGCAGTTGGCCAAGAAAAGTTTGTTCTTGGTTCTGGGAATGGGATGTTTGCTTTCTTCACTTCCTAAGTGTAAGAGAACGGCTTCCAGAAGTGGTTAGCAGATGCTGGAGATGCGACCATCATATGCACACACACGAGAGCTCATCTATTAAGCTAAGCTTTCTCATTATTTTCTTAGCCCAGATAGGCAAAGTGGAGCCTTGGGAAGCTTCCTCATTTTTCCTGTCACAAAGAAACTGGTGATTCAGTGGTCACAGGAGTTTGTAATAAATAACCCACATTGATTTCTCTGTTCCAGAATGATTTTGGCTTCCCTTCCTCCCAGTAGTCTGATGTTTACCCCAAGAGGCAGTGTTAGGAAATCATTTACAAAGTGGTACAGCCTCTCCTTCTGCTATAGTTATAAATCCAAGTATGGGCTGGGACTGAGGAAAGGGATCCAGGACTTCTCATTGTTGATCGTTGATGTCCTCCTAGTGGGGACATCCAGATCCCAGCAGCATCAACAGCCATGGAGAAGCTGCTGTGGTGCTCACTGATCATGATCAGCTTCTCTCAGGCTTTTGTCCAGAAAGGTAGGAGCTATTATAAAGATTTGACCTGGGGGGAGAAGGGTGAGAGCCTAGTATTTTACAAATGGAATTCAGGGGGCAGCCTCAGGTACAGATGTGTATTTGTGTCACCTGGGAAAAGGCCAGATGTCTCCTCATCCTAAACTCTGCTTGTAAGTGAAGGTTAAATTTTTGTTATCTGGGAAACTACTCACTTTCTTGGTTTTCTGTCCCACAGACATGTCTAGAACGGCCATTGTATTTCCCAAAGAGTCAGACAATTCCTATGTAACCCTGGATGCGCTGTCAAAGAAGCCACTGAAAGCCTTCACTGTGTGTCTCCATCTCTACACGGATATGAGCACAACCCGCAGCTTCAGTATTTTCTCTTATGCTACCAAGAATAACCCTAATGATATTCTCATATACTGGACTAAGGATAAAGGGTATATTTTTGGAGTGGGTGGGCCTGAAGTACTATACAAGGCTTCTGAAATTCCTGAAGCTCCAACACACCTCTGTGCCAGCTGGGAGTCTGCTACAGGGATTGTAGAGCTCTGGGTTGATGGGAAACCCAAGGTGCGGAAGAGTCTGCAAAAGGGCTACACCGTGGCGACAGATGCAAGCATCATCTTGGGGCAAGAGCAGGACTCGTACGGTGGTAACTTTGATGCAAAGCAATCTTTTGTGGGAGACATTGGAGATGTGAACATGTGGGACACTGTGCTATCTCCAGAACAGATCAACACCATGTATGTTGGCGGGACATTCAGCCCCAATGTTTTGAACTGGCAGGCACTGAAGTATAAAGTACAGGGTGATGTGGTTATGAAGCCCCAGCTGTGGTCCTGACCTACTATTGTGAGCCCTGAGATACCTCCCGGGATTACATTCTCTCCCTTGTCTCCAGTTATAGACCTTTTAACCCCAACAGATGCTGTAGTTCTACTCTGTGAATATGGCCTTTCACTTCCCTGCTCTGCCTTCCTCAGCACCAGAGCATGGAATTTAAGTGTATGGCTGGGCAGCATGTGCATCGTGCTAGGAATCCCTACCAAAGAGAATCTGAATTACACATGTTTATATGTATTGATTTTTCTGAGACTGAGTTTCTTTGTGCAACAGTCCTGATGTCCTGGAACTTGCGCTGTAGACCAGTCTGGCCTTAAACTCACTGAGATCCACCTGCCTCTGCCTCCTGAGTGCTGAGATTAAAGGTCTGTGCCACCACCACCTCACTTGTTTATATATATTTTTAATTGAGAGCATTTTAGATAATCCCTCACCCTCACATAGACAAGAAAACAGACACACAGAAAGGAGAGTGAAATTTTTTATTTGAATTTTTTGTTTTTAGAATTTCAAACATGAATGCTGTATTTACTTCATTTCTATCCCTTCCTCTCCAAATCCTCCTGTGTCTTGACCCCTTATTTATTAGTTTTATATGCATACACATACATACATACATACATACAATATCTATCACCTATCTATCTATCTATCTATCTATCTATCTATCTATCTATCTATCTATCTATCATCCTACTGATTCTGTTTGGTGTTGCATGTATGTTGTTGAGAGTTGACCACTTGGGACTGGATAACCTATCAGGTGGCACACCCCTGAAGAAAACAGATTCTCCTTTTCTCAGCAGCCATTGATCACCTATAGCTCTTCATATAGGGGTTGGGCCTTGTGAAATTTCTTCCATCCATGTTAACTAGTGTCGTCATTTTATGTGGGTCTTGTTTAGGCAACCCAGAGTGATGGAGCACTGACTCTATTGTGCTTAGAGTCCGTTCTTTTCTGGAATAAAATCTGTAACTGAACTTCCTGGATCCATAAGTCAATAAAGCCACCTTTGGTTTGAATGATTTGGAGCTGTCTCATGACTAACTTCATTATCAACCATGAAATCAAGAGTGTGAGTTCAGGCTGACTGTCACTGCCTTGGAGGATCATATCTGTGCCTTTCCACCTTCTGCTGCTGAAATCTCTTGGGATGAGTCCCTTTGAGATGAACAGCCCTGCTTTGGAAATAGCTGGTCATTCATGGGGTTCTCACGTGGGGGTCTGTTACTTTCCCTTTTAGAATTGCAGTTTGAGAACAAAAATCTAAAGATCATTGAGATTCATGAGTTTGTAGTCAAGTTCAATGATGGAATACGTTTGTTTCCGTCTGTTTGGCTACTTAAAGAAACAGACCCCTGAGGCATCCTTTACCATAGTCTTTTAGAACTGGGTGAATGAATGATAAAGTTATTCCATAAGGCCTTCCTTATCCAGGGTTGGAGAAGGGGCTCATTAAGTCATTATTTTAAGGAAGGCATATGGTGGACTGGCTAAATAAAGAGGTTATAGGGTCAAGTCCATGTCCTGGTTTTGTAACTTATCAATGATGTGGCCTCTATGACTCGGTTTTCTTACCTACAAACTGGGAGAAATAATTTAATCCACTTAAAGGGTTATTTTAAGAGCCAGATACGATTACACAAATAGTAACCTCTTATAAAAGTCATCCTCTATTATTATTAGTAGGCTGTGTACTATATGCATAAACATTATACACCCTGAAAATACTGCTGCTGGGATTTGTCTAGCTTGACAGCAAGTGAGTTTCTGATTTGCTAAGAATTCAGTTCAGACCATTAGGAGGACGAACAGAGTGTCTTTGAAGAAATTATTTATGAATATCGATTTCCTTAATTGACCTTTGATAACCATTTAGAAGCACAAGAGTTAAGGAAATACATTCTTAGGCAAAAATGTGAGTGCAGATAATTCTCCATTGTCCAATTAGGGCAAATCCATACACCCTGACACTCAGCTAAGTGGGAGAGAGGGTTGAGGCTCTTTTCTAGTTAACGAACCTAACCAGGAGATATGTCTTAATTATAGAAGTCCATCCCAACTCCCCAGGGATGTGGGATGAGCTAATATGTTCTTCAGAATTCAATTATGGGTAGCTTGCTACACACAGTCTAGTGGAGAGCCTCTGGCCCTGATGGTTTTATCCAGGGAAATTTTAACAGGTAGCATTTGCATTCAGTGTGGATTAAAAAATCTTAATAAATTTTTTCTGTAGCGTTTAAATTCAAGCAATTTACCTTACTGGTGGATACTTTGATGTGATCTTTTTAGAAAATGTATTCCTATGGACCTGGTGAATTGTCATCCTGTATGAAGCTGTTAGATGTAATCTAATAAAATACTATCTGCTGAGGATGATTTTGGTTTGGAATGTTGGTGCCATCGTTTTATAGTTTTGTAAGTGGATAATATCAATCTTCCATGGTGGTAGCTTCTGGGTGATATTGGTAATGCTGTGTCATTACACTGGCCTTCCCAGGGTTCATACATCCAGCTTATCCATCAGCATTAAAGAGCAAGTTAAAAAGACAGAGAGCCCTGCTGTACTTACATCCTGATATTAAGACTAGGCAATAGCTAGGAAGATGGCTCAGTTGGTAAAGCACTTGTCTTACAAGTCTGAGGACCTGAGTTCAGTCCCCAGAGCCTACACAAAGTTGCCAGGCATGGTGGTCCATGCTTGTAACTCCAACACTGGGAGGTAGAGACAAGAGGGCTCCCAAGGGTCACTGGCCATCCAGTCTGATTTAATTGGTAAGCTCCAGAGTAATGGGAGACACTGTTTCAAATTAGGTAGATGATGTTCCCAAGGATGACCCCAAGAGTGTTTTCTGCCTTCTACATGCAAGTGTAAACACATGCACACACAACTACACACACCTGCATGCAGGTAAATATGCACATACACACATTCACATATAAAAACAAGGGGAAATGATATGCCTTGTTTACCAGAAAGTAAGTTAAGTGAACTTATTTGCTTTTCCTACAGAAAATGGAGATGCCTAGTTCAAATCTTCAGGCCAGGTTTGAAGAGAGATTGTAATTCATTTACAGGTTAAATTCAGAAGATTGAGCAGCAACACAGGTCAGACTGGCTCCTGAGGTGGCTGTCTATGCAAACACCTTTCTTTTGTAATTGAAAATTGCCTTTTGGTATAAAGGTTAGCAAGATGCCACATGATGCTATACAGTTCAGAAGCCTGGCATATTTCTCTGTGTTACATGTTCTCCAGTAAGAGGAATCATGAAGATGTCACGGCTAAGACTGGGATTTTTGTAGGTGCAGATGAGTGGATGGGGACCCATCTCTTTGGTGAGATCTGTTCTGTCTAGGGCCTGGAAGAGAGACTACAGATCTTCTCAAAAAATGGAAATAAGGTCCAACAGACATAGATTTGTAATGCAAGCTGACAAAGTAAGTAGAATATTAAATCTGTGAATTTTTGCCTGTTTTTTACTATCACTAATTTTGAGGTATTCCAGTGAAGCAAAGCTTAACAAAGAAGGCAAATGACTCCAGATTATTAATCAGAAAACAACAAAACCACACCAAAAATCAAGTTTTCCAAATAGAGCTTTGGTTGCTAGAGTCCTCTGAAATGAAGGAAGTAACACTGTGCTGTCTACCTGTCTCCATCCCAAGTTAGCCATCCTCTGGCCTCTGATGGGCTGTCCTGGTAACCTGCCGAGATTGCTTCCCTTCAGTGTTCTGCCTCTGTCTCATCTGTGGGTAACTGTTCATTTCACCTGGACCAGAAAGTAAGTTAAGTGGGATTATTTGTTTTTTCCTACAGAAAATGGAGACTCCTAGTTCAGTTTCCCTGGAGGCCTGGCCCAGTGATACACTGTAGTCTACTAATACAGAAATCATTACCTTTGGGTTGCTGATCATGAGTGCAGACTCATTGACTTCAGAACTGCTAGGCAAGACTCTCTGGAGTTAGAGCCTGAGAATGTAAAACATCCTATGCCCAGTGTGCCTCAGAACTAGTCTTATCCGGTGGGCATTCTTAGCTCCCAATAAGCTTCAAGGCAGGTGTGGCTATCTTTAAAGAAGGATCTAGAAGAGATAGACCCAGGGAATACCCCTGGCCCAGCTTTGGTGTGTTCTGCATGTTCTGTGAACACAAATAAGTGAATTCATAATGCCTCATCAAGGTTCTGATCATAAGGATCTGTCTAATCATAAGGATCATGATGATCTCCCTCATAATATTTAAAATTACCCTATTTATCTCCAGATTATTTTTTACTTTTGAAATTAAATATAATTACACCATTCCCCCCTTCCTCCATCCAGCCCTTCCTATGCATCTCCCTTTGTTTGTCCTGAAATAATGTGTAGACTCCATTTCTTTAATTGTTGTTAGACTCTCTCTCTCTCTCTCTCTCTCTCTCTCTCTCTCTCTCACACACACACACACACAATGTATTCTTAAATATATAAATTCAATCTGCTCAATCTGTATAAAATTTCTTGTATGTATGATTTAAGGGCTGACCACTAAGCATTGGATAACCAATTGGTGTGCTCTTTCCTGGGGAACACCATTTCTTCCCACCCCACAACCCTGCTCTCAGTATTCCTTAGCTGCCTGTAGTTCCTTGTCTAGGGCTGAGGCCCCATGAGGTTTCCCCTTCCATGATGGCATGTCTATTGATGTTGTCCTTGTTCAGCTCTTGTTTAGGAAGCCATGTTGATGAGACTTCATCAAGCTAAATGTACCTTGTTCTGACCTGAGCTTTTATCACATACCAGACACCTTTAAACACACTTATTTGACAGTTCTATAAAGATTCACTTTAGAATACTTACTTTTTGTTGTTTTTATATTTATTCCTCTTTCCTGTATCACATCCTGACCTTAGTTTCCCCTCCCTCCATTCTTCCCACCCCTCTTCTTCCTTCTTCCCTAGATCCACCACTCCTCCATTTCCCCTCAGAAAAGGGCAGGCCTCTCAGGGGTGTCAACTGAATACAGCATAACAAGCTACAATAAGACTAGGCACAAGCCCTCATATCAAGGCTGGGTGAGGTAACCCAGTAGGAGGAAAAGGTCCTAAGAGCAGGTAAACGAGTCACAGACACCCCTCACTCCCACTTTTAGGAGTCCCACAGGAACACCAAGCTACACAACCATAACATATATGCAGGAGGCCTAGGTCAGACCGATGCAGGCTCCCTGATGGTTGGTTCAGTCTCTGTGAGTCCCTGTGAGCCTTGCTTAGTTGATTCTGTGGGTTATGTTCTCATGGTGGGTTGTAGGAGCCAGAGTACTTACTTTGTTTTTTTGAGAAAGTCTTACTTATTAGACTTGGAACTCACTATGTAGTTTAGGCTGGCCTCAAACTCATAGAGATCTTCCTGCCTTTGTCTCCTGGAGTTCTGGGTTAAAGGCATATGTCACCATGCACAGGTGCTTTTTGTTTTATATGCTGCAGGGAAACCAAGGTTTGAAGAGGTTAATTAACTTTCTTAGAGGTAGTATTTGAATAGAGACCATGTAGCCTCTAACCACTTATGCCTTATCACTGCACTTATACCTCTAATGGATGTACACCTTATCACTGTACTATACTCCAGTAAATAGGGATATGTATGTCTTCCTTTAGGGAGTGCTCATACTTTAAGTTTTTTCTTGAGACAGGGTATTTTGCATCCTGGGCCTCAGTCTCACAGTGTAGTCAAGGATGACTTTTACCTTCTGGTTCTCTTGCTTTTTTCTCCTGACTTCTGGGATTACAGATGTGTGGTACCATGACTTATATGATGTTGAAGATCAAACTTAAGATGTTGTGTGAGGCAAGCACTCCACCAACTGAGCTATGCCCCCACCATATATATTGTTCTTATGTATTCAGCCTCAATATTAAGAGAATGTAAGACTGAATATGCTTGTGGTACAGTGTCAAATTCTTCTCCAACCAGGAACCCCCACCTCATATGCATGTGTGAATGCCTTAGACAATCTCTTATCTAGGAAGCATTCTCCACAGGCATGGAATCATGAGAAGACTCCTTCATACCAGTAGATCTCAACTCTAGATACTAATTAGAGTTACCCAGAGAACTTTTAAAAATTTAGCAGGCAAGGCTTCACCCCAGATCCTTGGAGTCTCTGGTGATGAGACTCAGGGATGAGTGTTTATAAAAGTGCTTAAATGATTACAGTGTGTAGGCAAGTCTTCTACCATGGAGGATGGGGTACCCATGTACTAGGCTGAATGGTAGCTTTGAAAAGATTCCTGGGTCATGGCTGTTGTAGGACATGATAAAGTGACCCTTGTATTTCTCATGTTATTTATTCAATAAAGCTGCATTGTGTTGACAAAAATTCTGCCTTGGCTCATGGTGTTTTTCTTTCCCTGAAGACTGTTACTCGGATTGCTGCAGTTTGGGGTGTTTCTCTGATATACAGGGCCTCTAAATCAGGGAGAATCCAACATGCCAAGATGTCTAGAAAAGCTCAGATCCTTACATAGTTTTATGAATCATCACAGACTCCACAGAGAAGAGAGGAGGTTCCCAGAAACCTGCCCGAGGGAAGGGTCAGGTCACATTGGAGCCTGATTTATTGCAGCCAGTGTTCGGTGAAATGATGTGAACAGTTACAGAGCTGTGTCAGCAGCTGCTGGAACCAGCAGGGATTGTAAACTGGTTCACAGGGACTCTTTCAATCTCCTTCATTTAAAGATCTGTTCAGCATATTCATTTTGGAGGTAGTTCTAACATTGTAGTGGACGCCATAAAATCAATAATATTTCCAGCACCCACTCACAGTGTTGGAGATTGTATTCTATGGACTCATCTGCAGAGCCCAGATGTTAATAAAAAGGCAATTTCCACTCTGGGAAAACATCTTGTTTTTTTTGTCCAAGTATTTTCACCATAAAATTATTTTTCTGTTTAGACAATGTTATCTCTTTTATTGGGCAAATGACTAGAATGGAAAGACTAAAGTTTTGAAGCAATTACATCAAGCTAGTCACACATCTTTTGAAAATCTGGTGCAAGAAGTCCTTGGGAAAGGACAGTTTAACAGAAAATTTAACTATACATCACTAAAAAGCAAACCATTCTGTAAGCATCCTACTGATAGTATGTGGTATAAAGCATAAAGTCCTTTTTCGGGTGTAGTTAGAATATGTTAATCAACATCTGAATTTTCTTTCCAGTCAATGGAGAAATAAACTGTATTATCAATTCCTTATTGAATATCAGTGAAAAAAAAACCTCAGGATGAGACCATGATAAATAAGCTCAATTCCTTTTTACATAAACTTACAGTGCTTCACAATGAAATTTACATATTTTGAAATACTTTGTATTTATGACTGTATCTTAAGGATAC